TGTGCCAGGGAGCAATCCTGTTCCTCAGGCCCACTGCTCTAAGCTAACAGTCACCCTGGCCATGACCAGAGCCCTCTCGAGGAGGAGCCGTGGATGCATCCACACTGCAGGGAAGATGCTGAGAACACACACATACTCATGGCACGAACTTGCCCCATGCTGCCACCCTACCCAGACATGGCCATCGTGTTGCTCTCGGTCCCACCTGGATCCCAGGACACCTACGAGATGGCTCCTATGCAGACTCAGGGCCACAGCTTTAAAAGGAATTACTGACGACTTGGGAAGATCAACCACTTTGGACTAAGCCAGAATTTTGAGGTAATTTCCTAAACAAAAAGCTACAGTTAAATAGTTAAGGCTACATGACCTTGCAAATCATTCCTGGAGGTCTCGCTGTTTTGCCTCGTCCTCCCAGGACTTGATTGGTTTTTAGCCGGTTTTGTGTTATTCAGCTCTATTGCAGGCACCGCTTCACATGACACCTTCTAATTCAGCAACCCAAGGAGTTACAGGAGTTAACGTGGCCCTATTTTGCCGCAGCCGTGCGGGCTGCACAGCCCGCCTGGACCGCTTGGCTTTAGGTGCTGGGTGCCCTCCTGGCACTGCGGGCAGCAGCGGGGCAGCCGCGCGGGCGGCTTCGATGCTGCATCCTGGGGAGAGCAGAGAGCAAATCTCACAGCCCTCCCGGAACACCCTCAGGTTAAGAAATACCAACCTAGGCTTATTTGGCTACAGAAACCATGAGACAAATTATCTGTGCAGATGTGAGACAGCTTTTGTGGAAATATTTGCAGGATGCATCTTCATTTCTATAGTGTCTCCTGCCTCCAGCTCCCAAAGAATCCAGGGCACTGCAAATGCAATAAAACTTCCCCAGCAGACTAACAACTCTGGGAAAATGCTAACTCATGTCCTTGCAGCAATTTTCTGCTATTTTAGACTCAGCTTTACATTGCTAGCTGCATGCATATTTAAAAATCTCCTTTCCTCCCAGCATACTCAACCCATTATAGCATTTTGTTTATAACCAGGACTAAACAGAAGCAATCTCTCTTAGAATTAGTTTAAACATAATTAAATGCCCTATAATTTTGCTATAGCCTTGCAAGTGACACCACCTACGCTACCTTGGACATGGGCCAGATGGCTTCCCTCCCACGTCACACTGCATCTATGCTAGAAGTAAATATTCAAGGGTAAAACCAGGGAAAAAACGCTTGTGTCCTTAATTCCCCCAAAGGGACCTGGGCTAGTAGCACCGAGACATATGATAAATGGGATCATATATTGCTATGCAGATGAAGAGTTTTCCCTTTCGTATCGGCTTGCAAGAGGTGCACCTATTTTGTTCCCTTTTCCTAATCAACTTTCCCTCGTATCCCAGCAAAACAGCGCAGCGGCGCAGACATACCTTACCATATTAGGCAATCTGAGCCCAGAAAGTGGAGGACTCGGATGCTTCCTTAGCTTAAAAAGACAGTCCTCTGTCGGGGCCACAGCCTGCACAGTGCTACACTTCACGTGGCTGCAATGGGGAAATAAAAGGGTGATAAAATAGTGCAAGGCATGGTGCTTCTGAGGACGTCTAGGGCTCCAGGGACGTGCAGCCCGACTGCAACGGGCAAGTGGCAAAGCACTAATGGAACCTACTTCTGATCTGCTGCTTGTTTATCCAGTTCAAAAGATGAGTTTGATAAACAGCTTCATTACAAAAGTTAAACGGTAATAAAGTGTCATTATAAGCAAAAATACAGGTGATAAATTGAATATATGAAATTCAGGGCTCCTGAGCTGTAGGTTCTGCAACAGCTCTCACGTTATGATGTTTAGTTTGCACAAAGAATTTTCCAGTTCATTGGTCTTCCCTAGAATCCCCAGTTTAGAATTTCAGTCCGTGCAAGCTAAGAATTCAGTTCTCATTAGTATCCACTTGCATCTGCTGATTTCATGTTAATAACTACAATTAGGCAGAAAAGGTAATGTTTACAGAGTGGGCTGAGCGGTGTTTTGAAGACTTTAAAATACTCAAGCTTCATAAATCAATGTGCAGGGAGACAGGGATGGAGCTTATTCAATACCCTTGCTGTGATCTAAATCCATAAACCATACATTTCAGTGCTATTCCTGCAAGAAAGTTAATTCCATTAACGTGTCTGGGTTTTCTACTGTGCTATACAGCCTGTCCTAGGGGACGTTCACAAAAGCAGCTGTTTTTCTTTGACACTTTTATTGCCCAGAGAGTTGTTAGTTCACAAAATGACACTCAGCGCACTGCACTGCATTTAAACCTTTGTGTAAGATGTTGCAATAATCCATGCAATTATAAGGCAGGGTATTGCACAGACCTAAGTGCTACCAAACCCGAAGTGTCCTTGTTAAACTGTACAACACATGGGTGAGACACATTTTTAATGTCACCAAAGAGATATGCAAGGAGGTAAAATTCTTTGAATTATTACAAGTGTTTTCCTACTTCTGTTAGGCACTGTATATCATTTAAAAGCCACTTTTCTTCCACATATGTGCCCAATTTCTCCTGCTATGCCATAGGGATGTTAGATGTCACCTATGAGTCAAAGCCTGAAGAGCCCAGGATAAGGAAAACCCTTTTCCAGAATGTCACACAGGATCATTCTCTTCCAAATGCTACATCCCAAACTAGAGCCAATAATTCATATAAAACTATAAAGATTGTGCAGATAAGCCTCTAATCTCAAGACTCCCGAATTCTCACTGGTATTTCACAATTAATGGCTTGCCATGAGCAGGAGAGGATTCCTTAATACGAGTCTACCCACATCGTTCCAGGCTGGGAATGCTAATGCAATCTTTGAGCTTTGACTTTCTGAGTAATAGAGACGAGACTGAGGCCAAACTCTTTTCTCATCCCTGGTTTGAGCTCAGGTCCCCTGCAGCCGAACAAAAGCTCTTCCCTTTACCAATTCTTCCCAGTGCAGCTATGCAGAAAAGTCTCCTAAAGCTGCTTTCCCAGAGGCTTTTTCCAGCTGAAGCCCTCGTTCCCTTGAACATTTATTCCACAATAAAACGTTGTTGATGCTTCCAACTTTCCACAATGTATTCCCGCAGTCTGCATCACGTGGAGGAAGGCGGAGTTGGGAGCAAAACACATGAACGTGGCCTGACACCTCCTGTTAGAGGCTGCTCTCCCCTGCCTACAGCTCAGCCAAAGCATCTGGGCTGGTTTCCCACCCTGGTGCTCAAAAGCTCCAGCCAACCCAATCCATTCCCTTTGGAGAAGGAGAACAGCATGTATTTTCTTGCTTTTCTTTCAAAAATTGCATCTACCTTTCCTTGCTGAACTCGTGCTGCACATTTTAGAAGGGATTCAAGTAGGGCCTTTTGTGCTGCCTGGGAAAATCTTCCTAATATTATCTAAGATATTAACCAGGGGGGAAAATGTATCTGCTCACATGAACTGAGAGGAGCCCTGGGAGTTCTGCAAATCCAGTGGGATATTGCAGGGAGTTGGAGTTCACGACGGTGATGCAGGCACCTGCTAGCCCAGAACTGTAACGTGGTTATTGATGAATGAATGTGTTTTTAATGGCGTCAATTAGTAGGACAGAAATTTCACTGATTTCAACTGTAAAATAAATTGAGAAAGAGTGACCAAGATAAGATACCTGACCCTGGAGGCAAACGGTAAAAGAAAAAGATTTGGAAACTGAATAAAATCAAGAGGACTTGGAGAAAGGGGGGAAACAAAAGGGCGTCAGAGTAGAAGGGTCTAACCTAGGCTCCAGTACATGTGAGGTGCATAGGCAGAAAAAGGGGGACTGCTGCCACAAAACAAATGCCCCAAAAGACCAAGAGGAGCGCAGGGAAGTCACTGTGCATTCAGTGGGAACCCACAAGAAAACGGTGGGAAGTGCAAGACCAAAGTGGAAGGTTTGACGACTCTGTACACACCATGAACACGGTCTCCTGTGGAAAGCGCTCGGTTCCTTAAAACAGCTGGTGCTTCCTTTGTAACATACACAGCAAGAAGGAATATCCTGCAACTCCCACTTGCAAGGGTCGGCACTGAAAGACGAGCACGTACCAAGAGCCACCATAGCCCAAGCCTCTGGTCCCCACAAGACTAGCTGACTTTGTCCCATTTGTACTCAATATTAAAAAAAGGAAAAAGCAAATTGTACCCCAAAGGATATAACTGAAATGTTGCAGCAGAGAATCAGTTCACTTTTCAGTAAAATGATGCTTCGATCCTTCTAAAGCACGACAGAGTACCCAAAAAGGCTCTTATTACACTGAACCTTTTCTACCCAAGTTCTACCATCACACAGCATGCTGACCCCCTATGCTACCTTAAGATTGATATTTTCCCCAGGTCTTGCACATATTCCTTTAACTGTTTGGAAACTTAGCTTAAATCCATTGTCAAAGTCATGCTGTCAGCTTTGGACAAAGAGACAAAAACAAAAGAAACCACGTCAATTTGAAAGGACTTAATAATTGTTACCAAGGAAAGAATGGAAGGATAATGGGACCACTGCAGTAACAGGGAAACAAAGAATGAGCTCTGCTGTCTTGTTTGGCAAGCCTATTTCCCAAAAGGAAACAAATCCAGGAGGGGACAAGAGAACAGACTTTGGAAATTCAAAACACACAGTGCAAAACAACAGCGCGAGAACAGTTCTGCAGCACAAGGTCACGCGCGTTCCTCGGGACACCCGACAGCCACACGTCACCCCGGCTCCTGCCCAGTCCCTCTGGGCTGCAGAGCTGCCTGCGTGGTTCATGAAGAGCAAACTGCTGAGCTTAGGCCAGTCTATGTAATTTTTTTTTTTTTGGTCAGAATAAAACTCAATAAGCAATCTGCTACTCAAAACTACCCCCTGGTTTGGACTCAGAATATTCTGTCTCATTAGAGCTTGAACCTCTTTGATCAAGGAAAGCGAAGCCATAGAAGACCCCTTGCCAACACCATTCAAAACAGCAAAGCCCCCAGTATCCAGACATACATTTTTACTTACCCGAGTTTCCTTCACCTCCTCGTTTCCATCAACTTCATCATCATCCTAGCAAAAAAACAAAACAAAACCCCACTATAACTAGGCAGGCTTGGGATTAACAACATTTTTATCACAGCAAAATAACACACTGCTTATGATCACAGAGAGGTCCTCATAAAGCATCCATGAGAGACTCCTTATAGGTAGGTGCTTGAGGACTGTCTTTAGGAAGGAAACCTAGGGTAAATTCTGCTCAGAGTGCACCAAAGGAGAACACAAATGTCAAGTATCTTCCCCAAAGTAGTTAAAACTATATTGTATCAGCCTACTTGCAACAACCTTTAGCAGGGTTAATTTGACAGCACACCAATTTTTCCCGTGTGTTAATAAGCTTAGCAGATGGTCTGCCTGCTCTTTGGGAGCAGAACCAGACCGAGCAAAGGGGAGATCACTTATCTCCTGATGTTCTGTACAGGTAGCTGAATGACTAACTATTCTTATTGTGGCATGTCTGCAGTATGGGAATGATTGGCAGACTTATTTTTTAAACACAAGCACCCACAATGACACCTATTTGTAGAGTGCTTTCCTCCAAATTCTCTTTGTTATTAAATCCAAGAAAAATATCTGCCAAAACAAATGTCTGGCAGGCTGCTATTGGATTTGTAATTTTGGTATTTGTCAGGTCTGATAATCTAGTGGCCATTTAGAAGATTAGTCCCAGGGATAGAACTACTCTCTTGAGATGGCTACTGTGACTTGAGCGCTCCTGAAGATCAGACTCTAGTCATTAGGAGAAAGAGTAATATTCCTTAACTTGCTTTGGAAACAAATACCTTGATGCTTGAGATGACAACACGTCTGAAATGTCAACATAATACTGAGTTAGAGAGAATACCCTCCACTTCAAACAGACTCCAGAAGGAAAGAATAGCCATGCCAGACAACCTGCATTTCTGCAGATACTTCCCACTGCCTCTTTATAACAGTTCCAGAGCTGTTCTTTGGGATTTTACACAGCAATGGCAGATTGTCATGACATTGCATCCAATTCCATATAGAAGATGAGATATTGCAAATCTTGTATCTAAGGTCTCATGTAGAGTTAACTGGGGAAACAAAAACCTCTGAAAAATGATCTTCCTCCTGCTCTGAAGCCAGTAATGTTGCTATGATAATCCTGTAGGCAACTGGACAAGCTGCAAAACATTTAACTAAAGAAACATAAAAATAAGCAAGAAATCACATTGGGTACCCACGTGTAAAAATCAGGAATTATTTGAAAATAATCAAAAAGGGGGTGTTTTTGAAACAAGTCTTCTGCTGGCAGCTCTGACATTTCCAGCAAGGTCCTGTTCAAATTGTAATTCCAAAAATTCAACATATCTACAGAAAGACTACTGAGTGTTTTCATAGGATTGTGCAGGAAGCCTCCACCTCTTGAGTGGCAGAAGGCAGCCCAGGTGTCCACAGCTGGACTAGAATCATTGCAGACTTCTTAACAATGATTTTATAGTATTTATTCCCCCGCTGAAAAGACGATCCTGTCTCCTACCTGATTCTCTCACCAAGGTTTGAAAGACTGGCCTTCTTCCCTCACACTGGAGAAAATCCCCTTGAAAGCAGGACTAAGAGAAATGGCTATGAGACACACAGCTCTTCCACATTATATGCTGTGTGTGTTCTCTGATGCTACACCAGGGAACCAGACGCTCGTTTTATTCTTCACTGTCTTCCCTTTTGCAAGGGGGGGCTAAAGGGCAGCCAGATCTGGGCTCAAGAGGAATTTGAAAATACTTCTAGTGGCTCATGACCTCTTTCTTTCAAAGACTAAGACCTCTAATCTCTCTTCTCCTATGTGGGCTATTCCAGAATTCTGCAAGAATTGCACTGATTTGTGGTTCAAAAAAGGGCCTCCCAAAGCCTGCTGTTTTGATTTTATATGGGCCAAATGGGGAAGTGATTCCTGTGGAAGTGCTAGTCTGACACACCGCTGGAGAGGGAAGGGCTAAGGCAAAAACCAAACGACTCTTGGAAAAAAATCTGAATGTTACAAGTGGAAGGAAATTCACCTCAAGTATAACAGAATGAGTTCTTCCCCTTTAAGAAATTAATACTCACTTCTTTTGTTGAGAAAATGATGCCAGTGCCTCTTCGCCTCTCTTTGGGCCGCCGCCTCTCTCGGATCGACTGTTTGTTTGGAGACCTGTCGTCTAAGTCTTGATCTTCACACTCTAGTCAAGCAAAGAAAGACTGCTTTGGTTTCAGTGATTTACATCTGTGCTTTTGCTAACGCACCAGGGTTCTTTTCAAACTGATCAGGGTCATCTTGGGTTGTGTTGTGTTACCCCACAGTTATTAAATGAAATGGAATCCCCGTTATCTCGAGCTACACATATATTTTCCTTTACCAGAGCAACACAGATATTACTCTATGTGTCAGCTCTCCCCAAACCATTCTAGTTTAGTTTTATACTGAGAAGACAGGCTATACTAGAGGAATCACTCCAATGCCAGGACCTAAAAGCTCCCTAGACTACTACCTCAGTACTTAACCCAAAAGGGAAAATGTCTGTTTACCTCTGTTATATGGAATAGGTTGTGCTCTGCTCTGGGTCTGTATCCTAGGTTAGGAATTCCATTTAAACAAGTAACATTTCATACTGATTCCCCCATAATAACAAGTTAACTGTGTCTGTATGTACTGAAAGCTCTAAAGCTCATGAAAATCCCTAACTTGACACTTTCAGATTGTGCTTCATTCTGCTGGATACACACCATTCTTCTCCATCTCCGTGGCTGCACTTCTGAAGTCTGCTGGATTTACAGAGTCAAGATCCAGATACTTGTTTGTTCGAGTCAGGTAAGAGCTTGTATAAAGGAGAGGTGCTGATGTGGAGGGAGATACAGGTGTGGTAGGTTTGTCTGTCTGTCCTGGGCACCTTAATCGCCGATAGACAGTCTATAAACAAACAGCCACGACAAAACATTAATAGAAGGGAGAGGAATTACAGGATGTGGGATTGCAGGTAACTAGATACTGGACAAAAAACTTTTAGACTGCTTTCACTGTTGCTGATGACCTGCATCTGTGAGATCAGATCATTCCATCAGACTGGGGTGCACATAAAAACTGTGGTGTAGCCACAAAAAGAGAGCACCTGCCCATCACTAGCGAGTTACCAGTCTGCTTGTCCCTGCCACCACCACCCAGACAAACAAACCATCTCATACAAACAAATGATTTAGAGTTTAAAAAAATATAAAGAGTGGTGGCAAGGGAGAACATTGGCCTCTCTGGCTTCCAGTTACATGCAAATATCAGTAGAAAATGTTAATATAAAGCTTCAGCCCAGTCTGTACAACAAGGACGAATTCACGCCACAAATCTCTTACTAAGTGGCTTCCAGTTACATGCAAATATCAGTGGAAAATGTTAATGTAAAGCTTCAGCCCAGTCTGTATAACAAGGGTGAATTCACGCCACAAATCTCTTACTAAATAGAATTATCTGTGATTTACGAAGTTTCATTTTCTGGCAAGAGATAAAACGTTGGTATTCTCAGAGGAGAGCAAAGGACCAACTGACCTGCAAGACCTACATGTCCACATTCCTCATGTGGATTGCAGCACTCCTGCACTATTCCCTTTCCAGGAAGTCAGTCCCCTCCCCAACTAAACAGAGAGAGATCCCTTAGGAATTCCCCGCGAGCGGCTGAACGTTCGCTCCGCTTCCTGGAGGTCCGTGAGCGTCACTCCCTGCACGCAAGGGGAGAGAAGGAATATTCTTTGGTGTGCAATCAGATTCCTGGTCTTCCAGGTCCTCAACTTCAGGCTAACACAAAGAAAAAGCTCTCATTGACTTTAACACACTTCTTAGTGTACTCATGCAGTCACTGGGTCAATTTGGCACAAATATACATGATCAAACTGCAAATTTAAGGGCAGATAAACTGCAGAAATGACAACTTTGAACTCTAACTCACGTTATACCTGGAGGATTATTTTGATCACTGTGCCAGAATTTTGCCAGCATCTCTCCAACATTTTTATGGTAGAAAAACTCCTTGTCCTAAACAGTAGATTAAATCATTTAAGAATCTTTTCAGCCTTTTGATACCATTGGGAAACACTGAACACATGGAGAAAGTTAGTTTCTCAGATGTGAAATCTAGAGAGCTGACAATTTGCTAACCAAATTGTTCTCATTCAGAACTAGAGGCACCTATAACTTCTTAGTACATAGAGGCAATGTTTCCTTTGCTGTTATCCTGCACGGGAACATGAAGAATTCCTTCCTTTTACCTGTGTAGACCTGCGAGTCTGTCGGGCCTGTCTGGATCGTGCCTTCCTCAGGGATTCTGCTTCCTCATCCCGCACCGGAGTCAGATATGACCTAATTAAAAAAAATTAAAAAGGAGAACGGAATAGGTTAAAGCAAAAGAAATGCCTTGCCTTCTTGTCTCTGCAAGCTCTAGAACAGTAACGTTATTCTGCTTCATATGCACAAAAGTCATTTTAGTTTCATCTATCAAGACTACTTTTTTTCTTCTGTTTTGGGACAACTTTCCTATGAGTAAGAGATACCCAAATGTTCAAACTGTGTTCTCCTAACAGTCTCTAAATAAACATTTTAGTGTTGAACATGTTCTGTTACGATAAGAGTAACCATTTAGTATATTATTTGTACCATTCTATGTCTTATTGCATCATTTAAAAAAAGAAAAAGTCCTTCTCATCCACATTAAGATCTCAAGAACAAAAATCCTGCAGGGGCATCTCTCTCCCACCCTCCTTCCTGCCATTACATTCATGATCATAGTTCTGCAATATGCGGTCCCCATCAACGAGAAATCTGTTATAACAGAAATCAGCTGAACTACATGCATCTCACAAAGACAAAATACCTTTAAAACAGTTAAGAAACACATTAAAGAAATGAACTCCAATTACACTGGAGGAAATGGAGTCCCTTAATGCAGAAAAAAAAAAAAAAAAAAAAAGAATAGAAAAGAAAAACCTCAGATAGTTGAAATATGGAATAGAACACAAGTAAACTTTTTCAAACCTATGAGGTTTCAAAAGGAATTATTTGTATGAGGATATATCAACTGAACTGTCTGCACTGGCATTCAGGGGGTTAGGAAGTTAGAGACATTCTTAAGTGAAAATTTCTCTTTATCGGGGACAAGCCAGAAGAGCAGCATCAATGTGAAGTTTCAGCAGAAGTCATTTTAGGACAAGTCACAAAGCCAACAGTAACAATCCACCAGGACTCCCTTCTGTTTCCCCCAAGTTTCTGAAGGTCAGATGTGAAATGTTTAACTGCAGTTGTAGCTTCCACTAAAGAGGCTTCAGTGCTGGCAGAATTGAAAACAGGAAATAAATCACAATTTTTAGACCGTTCTCCAGCAGGGAGAGACCACAGAGCAGTAAGGCTGATTTCCAGACTGGTGGAGTGGCTTCCATCAGAGATAGGATTAATTACACTGGACTCTTCAGTCTTGTTAATGGGACTGATTATTAGCAGTGTCTCGCAATACATGATCGAGGGTGTCTGAAACAAATGGTCTTGGAGGTTTGTCCCCGCTGCGGGATAACGAGTACTGAAGAGCTGGACACGTTCAAAGAGTAATTAGCCAAGTGACAGCAGAAAACCCTACCAAGGAACGTGCTTAACTTGTTCTTTGTTCAGCAGAGCACCCTGAGGGTCTCCCCACCTGCAATGCTTGGGTATATCTCATCAGACAAATCATGGCTTTGACTCCCCTGACTGCAGTCCCAAGATCTCCAAAGGGTACAAGGAGAGCGTGAAGGATTGGCCATGAGGAGATGGCTGCACTGCAGACTTCGGATTGGAGGGGCGATGAATCATGCCCTAGGTGCTGGCTGCGATGGAGATGTCTACCTCAGAGCTGGCCACACTCACTGCACTGCACTTGCAGGGTGCAATTTGTCACCTTCAGAGGGAGCCTCCAGCACCGATCCTGTGGGTGCATCGCAAAGGAGCTCATTTCTTTCCATTGATTATCCAGACAGGAACACTAGCCGTGATGGATATGCCAACACCGGAATCATCTAAAATGCAGAGACACGATGGCCTCCCAAGAATTTGCTGTTTCATGAATGAAAAAGCTGCTGTTTGACGAGTGAAAGCAACTCCTAATTTTGCTCCTCTTCTCCTCCCCTTGGTGCAGTGCATATGGGCTACCCAGGTAATCGCACATAAAAGAAACAATAAACATTTCCTACACCTTTCAACACATGCAGAATAGCTGTGATTTGCACAGCATCCATAAGCAATAAGCCTCCTACAGGAAGAGCGCGTTCGCAAAATATACTGCCAATTAACTTCAGAATAGTAGTAGAAAATGAAAGAAAACAAAAAAACTCAAAGACATAAAGTAACTAAATTTGTAGTTAGGTGGTCAGTCGAAGCAGCTTTGAATTAGCTGCATTTGCAAGTCCAGTACTTTGGATGGTTGCAGGATTCAGCAAGGAGAATATAGTGGCATGAAGCTACCACCGTGCAAAGGGGAATAAGAGGAGGAGAGATGATGACAACTGCCCTTGCCTTGTTCAGATCAGCTCCTAAGCACAGCAGCCCCGTGTGTCTGGTAGGGCAGGAGAAGGGCCTGGTGGTGGGGCACAAGCAGCAGCTTTGCAGGATTCCCCTGTTTCAGTCTCACTACAGCTTTGCGTGCAGGAAGGCAAGGGTAGGGATGGAGCAAGCACGGATGCGGCACGGGAAAAAAATCACTTTGCATCTCTTTGTCCTCACAGACTTTTTTTTTTTAATTAAAAGATAGGCATATTTTCAAACATTATTAGCAATTTTGGGCACCCAACCTGTAGCAGTGACCTAAATCTTCACGGCGAGCACATTTTGCAAGTCAGGCTGGCTCAGGACATGCTGCAGTCTTTATCGATTGCCAACTTTGGGCTCCTGTTTATGCAATTCGCCACCGCCTGGCGCTTACCCAAGGCCGCTCTACGAGCATGAAATAACTGAATTTTCTGATACAAACCAGCAGTGCCACTGCATCGTGACATAGCTGGTTTCTCAGAGTAGGCAGCCACAGCCTTTTGCTGTTAATACGAGACGGTGGCTGTGCTGTAAACATTTCATATTCAGACAGCAAACACCCCACCTGCTAGCAATCCAGGCACATTTTTGCTTGACTTGTCAAAAGGTTTCTTCTTTTTAGGGGGGATAAAGACAGGTTTTACAGTTTTGGCTGATGCTTCACTTTGCTTACAGGCTGAATATTAAAACACGCTAGTGCGCTAAAAAGGAGCGAGCGAGCGGATGAACCGGAGCGAGACGGCAGGTCCGGCGCAGCCCCAGGAAACGCTGGGGAGACCCTGCGGGGAGAGCAACACGAGGGCTGAAGGAGGGGAAAAGGACAGAGCGGAGCAAGCTGCAGGGGAGGGACAGCAGGCAAGGCACGAGGCAGCCTGGAAACAGCCTGCAAAGTTTGCAGTTACCTTGTCAAGGGAAGAGGTTCCTTATCAAAGTGCAGCACCTACATTATGAATTCAGGCAGCAAATAGCACTCGGTCCACATACACCTTTAAAGAACCGGTCTCAAGGGCTGCATCTCTTGCAACAAGCAGCCACCGGGGAGATCAGCTTTTCCCCAGACCTCTGGTTGCAAATGTTAAGCAGCAGAATATAAATTGTTAGAAACGTCATGTGAGAGTCAGCAAAACCACTGCAGAGGTTTGGAGTTGCTGCTAGGGCAGAGTGTGTTGCCACCAGAGAGCCATGAGCTTCTCCTTGGTGCATTAGCTAGAAAAGTTGGGAACTGAATGATGAATCTGGCTCCTGTTTGAGCCCTCCTGCATTCCAGAAACCACCTATTTTCTCTGTTAACTCTTTTAATCAGGTCAGTGCAGCATGGAAACGCAGATCCCAAATGCTGATCGACATCTCTGGCCAAAAGGAGCGGTAATATTCATCCAAGGGGAGATGCAAAACAGGGCAAACGCAAGCTGGGAAACCCAAAACAGGAGAAAAAGCCTGTTTATAGGAGAAGCCTGAAGCAAGGAAAGGGACACACTGTGGAGAGGACCCCCCTTTCTCCAGTAAAGTAAATGATGCAGAAGTCCCCTGTTCACTCTCCAGAGATGAACACGAAGAGGGTTTTTTTTTCCTGTGAAATGCAGCAGCTCCTGGTAACGTAGCTGCGACAGCAGCCTCGTCCCCATGTCCTGAGCTCCCTGAGCTCGTGCACGGCAGCGTCCGCGACCAGCCCTGCCTGCGGCGGGAGCTGCAGGGATCCTGCCCCAGCACCTCTTCCCCCAGCAGCTTTGGTGAGAGCATCCGAGCAGCATCCAAAACCCTGTGGACACTTCAAAGATCCTCACGGTTCGGGCTGGTAACGGCACGAACCATCCCACAAACTGCAGCGAGCCAGCTGGCTCCGAAGCCTCTTATCAAGACCGTTCAAGCCGCGAAACCTAAGAAAAACACTCTGTCCTTCTCGGCTGCTGCAAGCAGACCCCACGGAAAAGCAAAGTTACTACCTAGCATAGATCTTATTAACAGTCTGAAGACCAAGGCTGCACTTAGGTAAAAAGAAAAAAGGTACAAAAAGATCAACAAAAGACTGATCCTGCCCCTTGGGAAACAGCTGGAAAAGTACAGGATCCCAGCAACACAACCCTACAAGCTGGAAACTTGCCATTAGCAAGTGTAAGATGTGTGGGAAACTGTGCTGAGAGCGGAGCCCGAAGGACAAGTCCTGAGGATGGATGCTAAAATTCAGCGGCAAATCCATCATCGCCAACGACCCAGGGGCCAGCAGAAAAGCCACTTTCCTGCTCTCACGTCTGAGCAAGCAACAGGTTGCTGCTCCTTGCTGTATTATCCTTGTGCTGCCACGTTTAGCCTATCTCAACCGAAAATACTCATTAGAAAAGTGGATGCAAAAAGTTGGCTCATGATCATTTAATGGTGTTTAAGGTGGTTTAATGGGCAGGAGAGAGGCCCAACATGTCAGACCCTGCAAGTGCTTGAGCTGGGAATCAGGGGAGACTGCCAGACCCTGTCCTGCAACTTAATAAACCTGGGACAAAAGGAGAACAAGATTTCGGGATGAACATTCCTCACGTGGCTGGAAAGGGCTCCCTGGTGTGTCCCGGTTTCAGGCCTTCACTTTTCTCCTGGCTATTGTGAACTGTCGTTTTGCTTCAGTCTGGATGCTGGATTCTCAAGTCACAGATGTTTGAATTGCCAGGGTCTATTTGCAGCACGATTAGCAGGTTAACAAGCACAAGATGAAATTCTCTGTTTGAGAGAGCTTTACTTTGCCTTGCCTGACACGTTCAGATGCTCGTTCCCAGGGATTAAGAGGCTTGTGATCTTTGTCACTTGTTAATCAAAACAACAAG